CCCCAAAACCCCAAAACCCCAAAACCCCAAAACCCCAATATTAAAATTTAACGTTGAAATGAAGAAAGATGTAGATTTACTCATTCTGATTAAATACATTCCTGACATACTTGATTTCTTTCAGGAGATTTATCAGTTCATCCTTCTCTTGGACTGGGAAGGGGAAAATCTCGCACTCATTTATCATTTTCTGCAATTTCTTTTCTTTTTCTACGAGGATATTTGAGCTTTCATCCTTCTCTGATTCTTTTTGAAGCTTCCTTATTTCAGCGAAATTTACACCCTTTGAGATGTAGATTCTAAAAGATTACAAGAGTATTACCTGGCTTGCATTCTCCAGAGTTTAACTCTCCAGAAGATATTGAAGAGAATATCGTATTCTTCCATTTTTACAGGAGCTAAATGTGGAAAAGAAGTCTTACCTTGCATGAGAAATTTGTCATATTTCGGAGCTAGCTCTTGCTGTTCAGCTTCTGATAGGTGGGCAAATCCAAACGGCTTGGTTTGATACTTTACAGCTGAATACTTTCTATTGTTGAGGATTGAGCAGGTCTTGCATTCGTATTTGTCAATTTCTGTGTTAGTGTCTATTCCAATACAATCGTAATGGAACCATCCATCACATATGTCTCAGCCAATATAGGCAGAGTCAGATTGATTGGGAGTACAACAATGACAAAAGATGTCCTCTGAATAATCAAATAATGTCGAGGATCCCAAAACTGAAGCGACTAAGATAGAGTCTGAAGAGCTCACAGATTTTGAGGAGCTCTTTGGAGACCCTTTTCCTGAATCGCAGCTCTTCACTTCTACTCTTTCGAGCAGCTCAAGTGGTGATTTTAACTCAGGAGTGTGTTCAGACTTATTATCCTGCTTAGTGGGTGCAGCCATGGATCTAAATTGATTTAAATCTCTTACTTTTCTTCTTCGATTTTTGATTCGTTTTTATTTATCTCTCTTTTTCTTACTTTTCTTGAGCTCATGGTTTTGGATAAGTTGTTCTCTGACTTTCTCGACTTCAGTGTAATCATAACTGATCAGGTAAGGTGAGAAGCCATCTATCATTTTCTTCGCCTTTTTCTGCCATCATCTAAAGATTACTTTATAAATTACTGAGCCAGAGAGATAAGTTGCTGGATTAGGCTGATCTCTGGTAGTTCTACCTCAAATTTCTCAGAGTTAGTCTCTTCTAAGAGTTCGATAAGCGTATCCAATTCTATGTTAATTGGAGTAGTCTTTATAGTAGAATCCTGTATTTGTTTAGGAATACTCATTGGGTGTCCGTTGAATAAAGCGAGAACCCTCTCCTTCCAATCCTTTGCCACCTATAGGTAACAGGGATCACTTACTTTGTAAATCTTCTTGACATCTTGGTACTCTGTTGGGATAATTTTGAGATCTTTCCCAAGGTTGACTAGAAATGAAATAACTGACTTACTGAGTTCTTCTAACTCTGGCATTGTCCAGAGGTCATCATCATTGATGTTTTTGTTATCTTCTTTAGACTCCTCGTCTTCTAGGGGGTTATTACTGTTGGAGATACCTGAGTTCCTCATTTCATCAAGTCTTTCCATCCACTTCTGGGTATGTGCAAAGACTGAATTGAATTCAGTCTGGACTCTATTGAGGATGACTGATGGAGTTAGCTTAGGTACATCAGTTCTATCTTTAAATAGTTTCTGAAGAAGTTTATCCTATAATTTTAAAGGCTTATTTACCTCGTTTTTGAACTTTTTCCCTTCCTTGTCAAGCATGTCTATTCTTTTGTATTTCACCACGTCTAAAAATGAAATAGAAGCTTACTTGGATTTGCTGTATTGAGTTTGTTGGCCTTGAACATACTGGTCAGCTTTTTCATCCAGTTTAGCTTATCAACATGAGATTGCAGGATCTTTATAATATCAGGATCATAGATGATAGGAATACTCCCTTGCTGGTCTTTCTTTCCATAATTCATATTTATCTGAGAGGCAGCACCAGCTATGATAGATTCTGGAATTTTCCCAATGATGTTTTCTTGGTCGAGGTCTTGCTGGGGAACATCTCCAAATAAGTACTTGTCATGACCATGCTGAGCCCCGAAGATGATAATCTCAATTCATCTCGCCTTCCAGCTCTCGCAGACATTTCTTAAGTCAGTAATTTTCTTGTAGAGTTGTTCGATCTTGTCAAATTTGAGCCAATATTTCTTCGAAGGTGATAAAGAGTTTCTAGTGAGAGTATTTCATTCAAGATTCTTGTTTTGTTTAGTTTCTTCTAAATGAGAATTTTAGAATAGGAAATTTATAGAAGACAAAGAGTTGGAATCTGTACACACCATTCGCTGAGTTTTGAATTTTCATTGAAAACTTAGCATATATGAGAGAAACTTATAGTATTTTTAGGATAAATAAGCTAAGGCATAACATGTAGCTTGATATATACTAAGAAATTCAGTAAAAGCTTTAATACCTTGTTCTTTCTTTGATTTTCTAGCTCTCCCTCTAAAGTCCTTCATGAGGCTTTCTAATTTCTCATTGAGTTCTTTATCAAAAGTTTTGGTAACAGGAGTATTGTACCTGATTCTGCCTTTCTCATCAAAAAGTTCATCTATTTCTTTATAAGGTTGCATCGGCTTTTTAGTGTGAGGTTCGAGAGACTTTTTATTATTCATTTCTATATCCCCTTCTGACTTAGCATCACGATCTCCTGCCTTTGTTTGCTCGATTTTGAAAATTTTCTCTATCGAGGAATCCACTAGGATATTGTTGAATTTCAAATTTCTAGAGGTCTCGTCAAGTAAGTTATCAACCTCAAGGCCCATATCTCGACTCTTACATATTTTCCGCACTCTGAATGTAGGGTTCTTGATTTTGGGAGCGCAGATTATATCATGGTCATCCTTGGCCTTCTCTTTTTCTTTAAATTCTTCTCTATCAGGCACCATTTCTACATCGGGAGTAGGTTCTTTTTCCTTAGTCTCTTCTTTGGTTTCCTCTACTTCCATTTTTACATCTTCTTGGGTTTCTTCGAAGAAGAGGGGAAGCTTAGTCAATATCTCGTAAGGAGTGAGGGCAGACTTTTTGTCCTCTTTGGTAGGCGCATCTAAAATCTTCTTACCTAATGGGTCCACCTTCTTTTTCCCTTTCCCTTTGGGTTTAGAGTTTAGTTTCTCAATGAACTTCGAAGCTTCCTTCTCCCATGCAATGATTGGGTATAAGGCATCTTGGACCTTCTTGATCTCTTTATGCTTAATTCTGAGTTCCTTAGAGTCTTCATATAACTCTTCGACTATTTTGAACTTGAAGTCCTTGTTTCTAGTAGGGTCAAGGATAGTCTTGGATTCAGTTAGCCACTCCTCAATTTCTTCTATTTCTGACTCGAGGATATCCACGATAATGAGGTTGAGGTTTAGCTCCTTGCCTTCTTTGATGATGTCCTTTACCTTGTTGATTTCAGTATCCTGGATAATGATTTTATCCTTGTAATAATTCTTTTTGTTCCAGCTAGTATCTGAGTCATTTAGATTAGACTCTATAGAGATTCTTCTGTCTGAAATCCCTTCTTTAGAGCTACTATTTTCATCAGATTGTTGGATCTTGCTCTCCTTTTCTGACTCTTCATCACTGCTTTCCATTACTTCGAGGATGGAGAGAGCTTTTTGCTTGTAGAGATTCACTTTCTCAAGCAAATTTTGAAGCTCCTTCATTTCTTTAGAATCAGCGAATCCTTTTTTCAGACATTCAGATATTAACTTTGTTATATCTTCTAATGAAATATTTCATTTAGACGATTGGAGCTCTTTGAGTGTCTCTTGAGCCTCATCTCTCCATTCTAGGAGGTCAAGTTTATCCTGGACTTTGTAAACCAATTTCACCTTGTATCTGAATGTTTTTGACTGGGAGATGAGGGCTTTCAACTGGTCCAAATTTTGGTCATTCGGACTGGAACCTTCATTTTCCCATTCTTCACAGTACTTGCTAGACTCTTTTTCCCATTTAGTGATGATTTCTATAGATATAGTAGTCTTAGACTTACCCAGATGCTCTTTCAGAGCTTCTACCTTGGGGCTATTGACCTTCAGATCAATTAATTTCTGGAGGATAGCCTCAGCTTCTTCTTTAGTCAACTTCTTTTTAATGTTCTTTTTCTGTTTTGAACGTGTTTTCCTGGAGGCATTAATCGAAGAAGTGCTCTCACTCATAGAGATAAGATTTAAAGCCTCTGTGTGCCTCTTTTTGATGTCTTCGAATAGATCTAGCTCTATGTTGATCTTCCTTGCTTCAGAAAGTAAGTGTGTTAGTTCAGTCATCTGCACCTCTGTAGTCAGTACAGCTTTGGCTTGTTGCAACCACTCTTGTCCTTTAGTAACCATCTGTTCAAGTTTACACATTTTATGGGTGAAAACTTTGATTTTCTTGGACCTCTCAAGTTCCTCTTCAAGCTCAGAGAGCTTCATCTTCTTTGCAAATTTATTTGGAGAGTTCTTTGGAGAATTTGCGGGCTTCTTCTCAGATTTCTTCTATATCTTCTGGAAGTGAAGCTCCACTTTGTTCAAGCATTTTTTCAAAATTGTTAACAATTTCAAGTGAAACTTGTTGTTGGTCGAGCATTCCTCTGAGATTAGAGATGATTTCGTTCTGTTTCTCTTGTTTGACTTGTGAGAGGCCCTGCATGGCTGCATCTACAATATCTTTGATTTCTTCAGAATCCATTTTATTTGATTTTATCTTCATTCTGGATCATCATTGTTGGATATAAAATGTAGAGCTTTGCTAGATCATATTTGTTCTGGGGACAGTCGCTTCACTGTTCAAGTAACTTTAATGCATTTTCTTCAAATGCAGTACCTCCAGCAAGCCAAGGACCAGGAGCATTGATGCTTTGCTCCTTCATAAATTTATGAACGAACTCAAGGTACTCTTCTAACTTTTCCTTCTCATATTTTTCAGGGGTATAGAGACTTTTGAAAGCAAATTTATGGTTCTTGTGTAGGGGCTGGAGAGGAGGTAGCTCCTTGACTTGATATTTATTGTTCTCAGTCTGAGACTCATACCGAGTGGGTGTATACAAAGAGTAACACATTGCTTCTAAGTAACTCTCAGGATCAAGATCGTTGACATCAACTATCTGCTTTTCCTTCTTCTTGCCTTGCCTGGAAGAGTTTTCCTTTCTCTTGTTTGACATTAGATAAATATTATATATTCATGCTGGCAAAATCTTGAGGGGTTTTGGGGTTTTGGGGTTTTGGGGTTTTGGGGTTTTGGGG